CCTCCTGAATAATCGAATCGATTCCGTAGCGGAATTCCGGAATTCGTACACATTCCGGCTTTTCCGGAATCGCCCGGAATAGGTAGGAATCGAATGCAAGGAATTCCGGAATTGAATTATGTTAAGTTGGGTGAGCCAAGCGATTCCGGAATGTGTAACTTTCCGGAATAGGATGACTGCTCCGTGGTTGAATACTACTGAACTTTTACCTGGTTGAGTTCTATTCACAGAAATAATCGAATTATGGTAGCGCAACATATCGCATACTCGCTATAATAAATGCACCAGTTTCTAGAATACGTTAATCATTCAAGTAAATGCAATATTCTCACTTATCACAGTCATTTTGAAACCATCATAAATTCTATTTTCTAACATACTTTTATTGATATTCTCAAAATTTTTACGAGCAGACAACAGTAGAAGAAGTAAGAGCATCAGAAATGATACACAAACAACAAATATATTTAATTGTGATCACGATTTCTTTGAATAACTGGAAATACTTGATTCTTATGTATACTACCAACGACCTCTTTGAGAGAAACAATCAATTGATTTCGAAATCTTTTAGATAAACAATAGCAATAAAATGAACTCTAAAAAAAAGAGAAAAATAAATATTTGTTTTGAAAGTAAGAAAGAGACAATTTACCGCATATGGGCCATAACCATAAGTAGCAATAAATGAAGTAATTAACTGTTCCACTGCTCGCCTATAAGAGCCTTTAGCTACATTTGCTGTAATGATTGAGTAAATTTGCGAAGCTGCAAATAGACTAGTGAATACTAATACAGCAAGTATTTGAAATAATGCCATGCTAATTGTTTGTCTTGTAAAAGAAGAAAGTAATCTCTTTACACCGATAGTTTTCATATGTCGAACAGTGAAAAATCCAAAAATTGAGATCACTATGATAGGAATAATGGTGAGAATGCCAAGAATAACAATATAGCTGCGATACTGAGCATAAATTGTATTTGTTGTTATACACATCGGAGTGCCTCCTACAATAACAAGATCTTGAAAGATGAAATAAGGTATCTCATGAATACACCAAAAACAAACAGTACCAACTATTAAACATCGTGCTACTCGAATATTACTCTTTTGTCGTACAACCACTGATGAAGAAGAACAAATGAAAGCATCAATAGCTTGTAAGCAAATCAGAGTATATGTACTTTGAGTATTAATATCGATAAAACCTGAGCGTGCTTTACACCAAATTCGATTCATTACAGTAAAATCCATTTGAAAGCCTGTAGCAAGAATTCGAGTAGTTACACCAACAAGAAGAATATAGAGATCAAGAAAAGTACGAATAAACATGTAGAGTGAACATGAATTGTTCTTGTAATTTGGAACTTTAATGAAGACTATGATGTTAAGAATATTTCCTAATACACCACCAATCAATAGAATAAATCCTAAAATAAGGTTTGGATATCGAAAAGCGCTTTGAAGTTGAAGAATTGCTAGTGAAATGCTAGTGTTATTGTTGGATGACATCGTTGTGTTCGTCGCAAATACTTCTTTGTAATTAGTAAGAATGTTAGTTTAAGAATATTCTCTTTTTTATTGTAGCCAATTGATATAAAATATTATGACGTACTAAGAAAACTAGCTTTTTCTTTCCAGTTGAAGCTCACTGAATTAGTTTTATGAGAAGAAAAGAGTGCACTACGCTCGTTTTTATATCAAAGATTACGGACAATCTTCTCACAAAAAATAGAAGCAGATTTTTTTGAATAATTAGATTAGAAATGACAATGCAGAATAACAAAAGTACTTTATTTAAGTTAATGTTAAGATTTTGAATGTTTAAATGAAATTCAATTTTCTAACACATTGCATCAAAAAGTACTGTATCAAACAACTGAATAGCATATTAGATTTAATAAGTGGTAATTTTGACAGGTGTCATGAATTGATCTTCTTTTATACTTTAGTTAAGTCAGCTTAGATTTTTCTCTGGCCAAATTTATATATATATTCTTTTTGTCTCCTGATTCAGAGCGATGACATCAATTAATAACAGAAATTAATAATGAATGACGTATTTTGTATATCTGATAAGATTATTAATAAAATGTTTTCTTGCTGATTATATGAACATTTTCGTATGTAGTTTAACGGAATTTATATTCACAAAACTCAGTGTCTTATCATTCGTTTTAAATTATGAATTACTTTAGTTGACTCTCGTGGAAAAGAGATGTGAATGTAAAGCAAAAAATGAAAACTTTTTATCTATACCAACAGGAATAGCGATATTACTAAAACTAATTAACATTTTTAGATGCAAGAAACAATCTGCTTCTCCATTATGTCAACATGATTCGAGCTAAGATACTTTTCGGATGAGTATGAGCATAAAAAATGACCTATTCCATACTGAATTATATCGGTCTTTTAAATAAATAGATGATTGTTAAAAAAATGAAATTTACTATTATGAAACAACATCACAGGTATATTCTGAAGTATAATGCAAACAATTCATAGCTTTCAGTAAAAAAAGATGGAGGATGTTAATACTTTTTTACTTTTATTTTTGTCACGATAATATATCAAGTAAAGAATTTTCACCGTTTATCTAATCGTAATATTCAACGAAATGTTTCCATAATTCGTTTGACCTAACAAATAAACATTTAATCCAGCTGAAGTTATCATTACAATAAATTTAACTAATTAGTTTTTTGTAATTATAAACGTTATATAGTACAATTTCCATAGTAAAATACTATAGAATTTTTCTTGATTGAGTTCTATTGATACAAATGATTGAATTATGGTAACTCAACATATCACACAAGCGCTATAATAAATGCATCAGTATCTAGAATATGTGACTGAGTAAATAATTTTATTAATACTCTAAAATATTTTACGAACACACAACAGAAAAATAAATTAGAACAAGACAAATAATACAAGAACAACAAATATAATTAAGTGTTGACGTATAATGGTAGTTGAGTACGAGTGCCAGTTCGGTGAGTACTTGGAAATACTTGGTTCGTACGTATACTACCAAAGACTTCTTTGAGAGACACGATCAACTGTTTTCGAAATCTTTTTGATAAACAGTAACAATAAAATGAACTCTAAAAAAAGATAAGGATAAATATTTGTTTTGAAAGTAAGAAGAAGACAATTTACTGCAAATGGCCCATAAGAGTAAGTTGCAATTAATGAAGAAATTGGCTGTTCCACTGCTCGCCTATAAGAATCTTTAGCTACATTTGCTGTAGCCACTGAATACATTATCGAAGCTGCATTTGGGCCATTAAATACTAATACAGCAACTATCTGAAATAATGCCATGCTAATTGTTTGTCTTGTGAGAGAAGAAAGTGATCTTGTTATACTGATAGTTTTCATATGTCGAACAGTGAGAAAGCCAAAAATAGAGATCACTACGATGGGTATAATAGTGACAATACAAAGAGCGACAAAATAGCTGCGATACTGAGCAAATATTGTATTTGTTGTTATACACATGGGGGCACCACCTACGATAACAAGATCTTGAAGGATAAAGTAAGGTATCTCATGGATAAACCAGAAACAAAGAGCACCAGCTATTAAATAGCGTGCTATCTGAATAGTGCTCTTCTGTCGTCGAACAACCGATGGAGAAGAACACATGAATGCATCAATAGCATGTACGCAAATCAAAGTATATGTACTTTGACTATTGATATCGAGAAAACCCACGCGAGTTTTACACCAAATTCGATTCACTAAAGTAAAATCTACGTGAAAGCCAGTAGCAAGAATTCGAGTGGTTAGACCAGTAAGAAGAATGTTGAGATCAAGAAACGTACGAACAAACATGTAAAGTGAACATGCATTATTTTTGTAATTTCCACCTTTAATGAAGACTATGATATAAAGAATATTTCCTAATACACCACCGATCAATAGAATAAAGCCTAAAATAAGACTTGAATATCGAAAAGCACTTTGAAGTTGAATAATTGCTAGTGAAATGCTTGTGTTATTGTTGGATGACATCGTGATATTCCTTCTGAATATTTTTATCTAATGAATAAAGATGTTACTTTTAGAATATTTTCTTTTTATTACAGTAAGTAGGAAAGAAAACGTATGATGTAGGAAGAGAGTTAGGTTTTTCTTTTCACTAGAAGTCCGCTGGAATAATTTAATGAGAAGAAAAACGCGCTACAGTCGTTTTTCTATGAAAGATCACAAAGAAGAGAAGCATATTTTTTAAATAATGAAACTAGAAATGACTGTGTAGAGCAAGAAAAATTAGCTGAGTTTGCTCACAAGAAGTATTGTATCAAACAATTCAATAGTACATTAGATTTCACTAGGTGTGGGTTTAACATATGTCATGAGCTGATTCTGTTTCATTTTGTAATCAAACCAGTGCAATTCTTTCCTCTTATGAAACTGATATGTATCATTTTTGTTCTCGGAACTCGAAGGAATGACATGAATTAATAGCAGACATTAATAATGAATGACGCATTTTGTATGTCTGGTAAGATTATTAATAAAAAGCTTTCTTGTTGATTATATGAACATTTACGTATATAGTTTAATCGAGGTCATATTCATATAATTCAGTGTCTTGTCAGTCGTTTTGAATTATGAATTAGTTTAGTTGACTTAGTTCACATTTTATCTTGATTAGAAGTTCTATTAAATTGTATAATGTATATATCTTTTTTCAATTAGCTACTCTTGACTTATCTGTCATAATTGTTCAGAATTTTGATTATTATTTTTCCGTTTGGTAAGTAAATGAAATTGCATACCATCATTATTTACTATGAACAAAAATCTTACTACGTTTCAGATACTATTTACGACAAAAGTTAATTTTGAGAAATTTGCATAAGCTTATCACACCCTCAAATGAGTTCTACTTTACTTGAATGTTTTTTAGTATTTCTTAGATCTTCAAAATAAAGACTAACATTCAAAGAGCTTTCTTTTCTCTTTTTCGTTATCAACATGGAAATAGAATAACAATATATTATCTTTGAGTAACTATGTTGTGATCCATGTTAATACATGTCATAATAAAATTCTATCATTTTATTTCTATTGATGCCGTTTTATACATAAGTATGAAATCTATCTAAAAACATATGAAGTACTTCTTTCGTACAGAACTTATATCATTAACTGATTATAATCCTTCTTAGTGTCAAAAACATTTTCAATAACATTATTTATTCTATCTATATTCATCACACCTCTACGAACTCTATTATGTCTGTGATTTGCACTCTGCAACATCACTGTGTTATTGAATTCAATTAGAGGAAATAACGCCTCCAACAAAAATATAATCATTATAACAACATACAACTAAATATTCTCATAAATATAATAATATAAATAATAGTTTTGAGATGTTTTAAAATTTATTCAAATGGATTAACTGCAAGTTCATCTGGAACGTCTAGGAATTCCACGAGATGCGTTTTCTTTTGTATTCAGTCCTTAATCAATGCTCTTATTCCAATACTTACATATGTATATATAAAACTGATCAACTATCGAACTCTTTCGTTTTCTCTCTGTTAGTAAATTTGACTCATATCCAACTAACCACCATAAATTCTAATTATAAACAAGACATTATATTTCTCAGTGTCAAATTTAACAGCAACAATATTCGATAAGATCTTGAATTTTACCCTTAGTGGCTAGTTGATAGAGTGTCTATGAGACATCAACTAAATCTGCATATGTAAAAAGAATTATTTTGAGTTATTCTGTACAAACGAACATCTACACAAAAAGTGTTAGAATGATATTGTCTATGTTACAATGTCAGTGGTAAATTAACTGTTTTTAATCCAAACAAGATGTAAGGAAACAAAAGTTATGTTCTTTTGGACAAAACTCGTATAATAACGGCAATCTAATATAAAAGTATTTGTTCTTACATTCAAATTTTATTCATCTGACAAGGAATCACATGTACGTCTGCTTGAAAATTTCGGCGTAGTTAACGCATTATTATATACCTTGTATAAATATTGAAGTATTCTGTTGTGAATAGAGTTAAGAAATATATAGATATTACTCGTCTATCGTCTCTCGTTAACTGAGAAGGTATAAAGTAAAGCGTGAAGAAGAGAAAAACCGATCTTATTTCAAGCAACGTTATAAACATGCAAATAAATATAAAAAATACTTTTCTTTCTTATTTAAACTAAAGTATGGGTGACGTCAAAGTTTCTTCACCCAGTACAATTCAAGGTTGTACGATAAAAAACGAATCAGATGGCGATTGTGATGTTGAATCAGAACATGGAGCTAATGGTATATGCACAACTAAGTTGAAATTTAGCGTATCAAAAAACTCTGAGAGAGAACAAAAATTGCTGAAATGCCAGGTCAAATTCATATCAACATTGTACGTATTACAGTTATGTGACGAAATGAACAAAAATATACATTAACCGAACCTTTCGATCTTGTAAAAGAACCATCACCCAATTGGCTTTTATTCAATGGAAAGTCTTGCTAGCTATTAGATGGGATTATGTGAAATATCTTTTTTACTCGTAGTGTACGATTTGAACTATTCATTTGATTTAGTGTAGCTATTTTTATTTCTCAAATAAGAAAAAAACTCTTCTTCATAGTTAATACATACTTTTTTGTTTTGTTTAAAATATCATTAGATAACTTCATACAATATTCTATGACTAACAAGTCAATTGATCTATTGGTTTTTGAAAGTCGTGTCCAATCAATATAACTTTGAAAACAGAATAATATCAAATTTTCATATTGAAGAAGATACATTTGATATAATAGCTAGCTCAAAGATCGTATTACTATCGATAATGATAATGAATATCTAACAAATATTATTATTTTCTCATCTATTTGAAACGATAGTCTTTCTTAAAATGTGACATAAAATCTGATATCATATCATTTAGTATCAGCTCAAAACTCATATCTTACTCAAAAAGAAAACTCACATTGTCCTGTAAAATAAAGTTGAGTAATATGTAGAAGGGTGCTCTGTTTTCATTCCGTTTCGAGGAACAGAGACGCAAGTAGAAACAAGGCAATCTTAGTTCGCTTCTTAGATGACGAGTGTCATTCGCGTTCCGCTCCGAAAGAACGCGGCATCTTTATCTTTGATTGTAACATGTAAATCTGCCATACTAAAGATATATTTCGATCATATCAAGCTAAATAAGTAATCTTTTACAATAAATATCAATTTGACGAAATATATTCAGTTTTTTTTTAGATTATAAACATTCATTAACAAGTATAAGAATAAGTATATATTCAAATAATAAATAGTTTTTTGTTAACAAATAGAGAGGAGATAAAAATTCATCTTTTATTTTAATAAGAACAAGCTCGCATGAATTTAATAACAACTGATAAAATATGGCACACTTGCACAATAATTGAGATAGAGATACTCATTCTGAACTGTCTGGTTGAAATATATGCTAGAAATCAATATTTATTATTTATATGAGTGAAAAGGTAGTATAAAAAAGAAAGAGATTCATTCTTTCTGTAGTATCCTTGCAAATTTGATCGTAATTACCATATGTTTTAAGAACGCAAAAGCGATGCGTTGAATCGCAGTTTCACAATCAAACGCATCCAGATCCGCTTAAAAACGGTTTTACGACGCAACATAACGCATTATCAACATCGAACGCGTTGAAGCGCAGTTTGAAAATTTTTGAAACGTGCCTAACTGCAGTTTTTATATATAACGTGTTGAGACACAGTCAGAAAAATAATTATCTGTGTTTCAACTCGTCGCTGGAAAACATTTAATGAGTTGGCACGCAATCATATTTCCGGGCATGTTTTTACGCGTTTTACTCTCGCGTATTAGACACGATTTTATCTCAAAAATTGTTGCTCTAAAAGAGTTGAGCGCGTGATCGAAATTATCAGTTTATATATATCTTTTATTCGGCTAAAGTTCCTTAGGCTTTTTATTAAAGAATGCTTAGATGGCGTTAAAATATACTAAAACTCATATAGAAATACAACAAATAATTCATGTTTCTCTAAAATTTGTATGAATAATTATGTATTCGTTAAATTCTTCGATGAAATTGTTTATCATGTTACTGATACAATAAAAAAAAATAATATATTAATTATGAGTAGTAGACAATAGAAAAAGATATTATCCTATAATAGGATAATAAAATTATTAACAGCAAAATAAGTGAAAAAATCTTGTTATGAATTAAATATCCTAACTTTGAAAAGAGTGTATCTTATTGAAAATAAAATATCTAAGCAGTGAAATTCTCATTCAAACATATTTTATTTTGAATGAGAAAAGGTCTCAAACAGATATAGCTTAGTAGTGTATATGAACGACTTCCGATCACTGGTTCATCTGTTCAAAGCTGACCGTCATTGCTTAAGATAAAATTTAATCCATTTGCCAAAGTAGGCTAAGACCATCGAAAAGTGTTGTTGATGGCGACTCAGTTTGGATCCGAGATAGAATATCAATTTTTTTTACAGAGTTTTTAGATTTTAAATGAAACGCGTTCAGACGCTTCGAATGTTTCACCGGGATTGCGTTTTCATTAAAACGCATTTAAGCCAAGTCAAGCTACGAACGCATTCATACGCGTTTCTAAAATAAATCGCTTCTAAACGCTTCGTTTGTTTCATTGGGGAACGCATTCAGACGCGTTCCCTATCAGCTTTTCACACGCATTTTGAAGCTAAAAATATTTGCACGAGAAAGTTAATTCAGTAGAATTCCAACGAAAAGAAAAAGCTAGTTTTCTTCCTACGTCATAAGTTTTCTTTCCTACGGAATATAATAAAAAGAAAATATTCTCGAAGTAACATCTGCACTCATTCGATAAAAGTATTTGCAAAGAACGCGACAATGTCATCCAACAATAACACAAGCCTTTCATTAGCAATTATTCAACTTCAAACGGGTTTTCGATATTCAAGCCTTATTTTAGGGTTTATCCTATTGATTGGTGGTGTATTAGGAAATATTCTTAATATTATCGTTTTCATTAAAACTGGAAATTACAAGAACAATGCATGTTCACTTTACATGTTTGTTCGTACTTTTCTTGATCTCTACGTTCTTCTTGCTGGTCTAACCACTAAAATTCTTAGTGCAGGTTTCCAAATAGATTTTACTTTGATAAATCGAATCTGGTGTAAAACTCGCTTCGGTATTGCCGAGATTAATAGTGAGAGTACATATACTTTGACTTGCTTACAAGCTATCGACGCTTTCATTTGTTCTTCTCCATCAGTTGGTGTACGACAAAAGAGTAATATTCGAATAGCACGATATTTAATAGTTGGTACTGTTTGTTTTTGGTCTATTCATGAGATACCATACTTCATTTTTCAAGATCTTGTTATCGTAGATGGTATCCCCATGTGTATCACAACAAATACAATTTATGCTCAGTATCGTACCTATGTTTTCGCTCTTGGTATTATTAGTATCACTCCAATCATAGTGATCTCTATTTTTGGTTTTCTCACTGTTCGACATATGAAAACTATCGCTGTAACGAGAACACTTTCTTCTCTTACAAGACAAACAATCAGCATGGCATTATTTCAAATAGTTGCTGTATTAGTTTTTAATAGCCCATATGCAGCTTCGTTAATTTACTCACTAATTACAGCAGATGTAGTTAAAGATAGCTATAGACGAGCAGTGGAACAGCCAATTCTTTCATTTATTGGTACTTATTCTTATGGCCCATTTGCAGTAAATTGTCTTTTTCTTACTTTTAAAATAAATATTTATTCTTCTCTTTTTTTAGAGTTCATTCTATTGTTATTGTTTATCAAAAAGATTTCGAAATCAGTTGGTCGTCTCTCTCAAAGAGGTATTTCGTGGTATACATATGAATCAAGTATTTCCAAATATTCAAAGAATTCGTGCTCATACTGAACTACAAACACAACTTGACAATTAAATACATTTGTTGTTCGTGTATCATTTCTGTTGTTCTAATTCGTTCTTCTGTTATCTGTCGTAAAAAGTTTTAAAATATCAACAAAAAGTATGTTGAAAAATGACTGTGATAAATGAGAATATTGTATTTACTTAAAAGATCAACAAATTCATTCATACATTCTAGAAACTGATACATTTATTATAGCGATTGTGTGACATGTTGAGTTACCATAATTCAATCATTATATCAATAGCAGCGAATTATTAAAAGATCAGAAGTGTTGAAATACAGAAATTATATTAGATAACTTTTACAAATACAAAAATCTATTTAGTTAAATTTGTTGTAATGATAACTTAAGTTGGATTACATGTTTATTTATTAGGTCAAACAAACTAAACGGTAGAAATTCTTCATTTGTTATCTTAATCGCGACAGTAATAAAAGTAAAAAGAAATTTTAAGATCATCCATCTTTTCTTGTATTGAAACTTATAAATTATTTGTATTTTACTTCACGATATACTTGTGAAACGTTGATTCAAAATAATGAATTTATTTTTTTGAAAAACCATCGGTTTGTTTAAAAGGAGAAGGAAAAATCATGAGATAAAGATTGATAAAATACAGTATGAAATTGGTCACTTTTTATGATCATACTCATAGGGAAAGTATCTTAGTTCGAATGATGTTGACATAATGGATGAACAGGTTGTTTCTTGCGTCCAGAAATGTCAATCAGTTTTAGTAATAACACTATTCCTATTGGTATAGATAAAGAGTTTTTATTTTTTTTCTTTATATTCGCATCTCTTCTACTAGAATCTTCTGAATAATCTTTGCAGAGAGAGTGATGGCTATTATTTCACATATATACAACTATTTGTACTATTCTTAAATGATAATATACAATCGAAAAAATAGCATTCTTGCACCTTTTTTTTGTTCTTCACTTCTCTTTTCTCTATTGAGAAATTTAATACAGTCATATATTGATTTAAAAAAACAGTAGCATTACATAGTAATAAAATCTTTTTGACATTTATTGATAAGAATTATTATTCTTTTATTTTTATATTATATTTTACTTTCAACTATATCCATGTTATCTATAACGTATGTCGTGTTTTTCTTCTACACAACAGTGATCTTGGCATCATCAAATTGTGATGCAAGTAAGAAGAATTTTGTTTGTGTCATTAAAAGAAAAATAGAAAAAATAAATAAATATTAATTTTATGAGAAAATCAAATAGAATATTACTGAAATTGTTTAGGTATTACTGCTTCTCAATTAAAAGCTATTATGCCTCGATCTAAACATTTGGAATATTTAAATAATATCGATAGAGCAATGGAAGAAGGATTAATTAATACTTGTGCTCGAAAATCAGCTTTTTTCTTCACAAATAGCTCATGAAAGTGGTGAATTGCGTTACATGGAAGAATGAGAACTACATAAAAACTATGAAGATTGAAAAGATTTAGGTAATAGTCAGGAAGGAGATGGAAAAAAATTTAAAGGTCGTGGTCCAATTCAATTAACGGGTCGAGCCAATTATAAAGAAGCTGGAAAAGCATTACAGTTAGATTTCATCAATCATCCTGAAAAAGTGAAAACACGTGAAGTTGGATTTCGAACGAGTGTATGGTTTAGGAAAAAGCACAAATTGAATGCATTAGTCGATAAAAATACACTCGAATCATTTCGAATGATTACTAAACGAATTAATGGAGGTTCGAGGGGACAAGTTGATCGAGAAAAGTATTGGGTAAAAGCAAAACATGCATTGGGATGTTGAACTAAAAAAAAGAAACTGATGATTGATTGCTAATAAAATATGATTCTTTCTGATAGTGTTAAGAAACGATATTATATATATGTATATATACCACTTGTGATAAAAGATAGTCTTTCTAGAACTCAACAAAAAGAGTTAATTAATGTAGTACATTCGGAGCTAAGGACTCTTAAATGTTGACTATATTGTTCTACACAATTGATAAGTACCTGAAGATATTATCAAGTAAATAACAGTATTTACTGTAGTAATCTATCATAATATGAAGGCGAGTTATATTTCAGTTAAAAGATCAATGAATTCAATTGCTATTAGCAGTTCAATTTCCAAGACCTAAAATAATTCTTGAAGTCTTGCCAATGATATATATATGCGAACTTAAACATATCTGTGAAAAAATACATTGTTCTGTACGTTCGAACTTGAAGAACATTTCTTTTTACAACACATCAAACAGTTTTCTAGGGAGTAATTAAATTTCATATAAATCTCTTCTAAAGAAAAGTAGCTTTTAAAGAATCATAAAGACTAATAAACACATCACTCTTTTTTCAATTATCAATAACGTTTCAACATTTTTCTCTCGTCACTATTCTATCTAATGAAATGCAGCAAATATTATGAAAAGATGTTATCTATAAAAATATAATTCTCATTTATCTACTAAATATATTTTTAATTTAGAAAATGACATCCCATATAATTACTGATAAAATAAATTGTCAGCTTATTTTGTTTTTATCACATCCTTTTTGATAGAAATTCTTTTTAGTTTTTCTGTAATTAAATGATTGCAAAAAATGAAGTAAATGTACTTTTAATAATTTCCCTTTGCTCTGTTATCCACATCTGTAAGTAAGTGTTTGAAAATGAGTATAGATGGTGTACTGCTTTTGTTTTCATGCAGTTATGAGAACTACACATGCAGTTTTTAACCGTATGAAAATTAAAATTATTGTAATAGTAGTTCTTTAATACAAAATAAAGAGTTAGAAAATAAAACATAAAATAACGCTAGGAAGTATAGAAGTATTTCAAAAGAATAGATTGCTTACGGTATTGCACAATTAGCGTAACTATAAATGGTGATTCTCTATAATTATTGATTACAAAGTCCTAACAAATCGTTATTCTTTATTTATAAAAATAGTCAGTATGATTGATCGTTATACGACCGTAGATAATTTGTTTCAATATGTACAATCTAAAATAATAGTATATACCGTTGTTGGTTCATCGACTTACTGTTTCCTCGTCAATAGGGCATATGTGAAAAATTAACCTATTATTATTAGAATAAGCATACCATAATTTAAACTTCGAAATATAGCGACCAGGAGCTATTTTTATATATATAATGACACTGGCGAATGATTTTCATATAGTATTAATATTTGATAAATATCATTGGTAAAATAATAAGCAGTTAATGTTTCTAGATTGTCTACGTACGCAAGAGATTCATAAACGATGGGAGATTCTTCTGAGCATATTCGCCTGATCAAATATGCTGTCCTTCAGACTACAATTGTACCATCAATACTTTGTGATGTTCTAGCCTTCGCATATGTTATTCGTTATTGGCGTCGAGAGATTATTAATGCACCACAAAATCATACTGTTTTATGTTTACTCATAGTTAGTTTCATACAGAAAACTACGGATTTACCAATGTCTCTATATCTTCTTCGTTGGGGTACTACTTTTCGACAAACAAATACATTTTGTGTAATATGGGGTTGGGTGGATTATTCATTGCTTGCTATTAGTTTACATTTGATAAGTTGGTGTAGTATTGAAAGACATTTATTTGTTTTTCATGGTTTAATGATGAAAAAGAGATCATGTTTAATTTTATTCCATTATATTCCCATGATCCTATGTTTATTATATGCACCATTATTCTATCTTTCTGTCATCATTTTTCCAAGCATGTGTACGAATGTTTGGGACTATACATATATGTTTTGCGGTGGTGGATGTTATGGTTCCGTTCCATTTTGGGGTACTTTCGACTGGTTATTTAATTATGCTTTATGGTTATTCATTATATTATTTGCAAATCTTCTACTTTTCTATCGTTTTACCCGACAAAGAATCCGACATCAACAACCTATTCAATCGAGACATAAGATTCGTATGATTATTCAGTTGGGTTTTATTTCAATTCTTTATTTAGTTTTTATGTCTCCAGAAATTGTCTTAGGTGTTATCGAGGCTTTATGGTCACCGACATTTGGAATTGATGTCGAAGTTAATTATTTATATTATATTTGCAATTTTATTAATCAATTCTTACCATTTGTTATAGTTCGTTCACTACCCGGAATACGTAAAGAATTAAATATATGGTTTCAACGTATAAGACGACGCAATGATGTAGCCATACGAGTACATCCACTCATGACTGGAACTGTTCTACATAGATAATATTGACATATAATTTGATTACATTTTTGTTTTACGAAATATGTATAAAATATTTAATCTTTTTAATATGTTGAATCAATAATTTTGAAATGATAACAATTACTAAAGGCAGCTAAACTTTTTCCATTATTTTCTAATTATATATCGATTGGTTGAATTGTCTGACATATTAGTATAGTGACTAGCTATCAAAAACATACACTAATATCAGTCATCTAATTCAAAATAGATGAGAGTCTTCTCAGTTCTAATCGCTCTGATACCTATAGATTGATTCTTAAGATATCAATTGATGAGCTTCATTCTAGTTGCTTATGATTATCATTAAATCCGAATCATATGTATTCTAAAAAGATCTTTTTTGTGTGTTCACTCTATTCCTATACTCTCCCTTACTAATATGTCAAATTTCAGCGAATTATAACAGAACATTATATTACGATTATCAGTTCCTATTTGAGACAATTGAGAACCTATGCATATATGATAAAGCAAGTGGTTCGATATACGTATTTTTATTCTTTCATATTTAGAATTGAAAATTCATTAAAAAAACATTATATAATATTTTACTAATAAATTAATGAGTTTTTATTTGGTTAATTGATTTATCTTTTGAATAATCTACATAAGGTAATCCAAACCAAAATCCAATATGCAAATGTTCTAATGGTTTAAATATTTTCTTCGACGATTCCCCATTTATTTGAAATTCGTTATATTTCATTGATAAATGTCGCATGGCTTCACTACATACAACTCCAATATAACTGTCAAAACCACAAAAAATATGCCACCATGCATGTAATTGTGGATTAAATCCATCTATACTATTCATTCGTTCACATAATTGTTGATCAATAATCCAACATATACAAGCTGGAACTAATAAACCAACATATACTATAACTAAATACATTATTTTATATGTATAATGTTGTGTTTGTCGATATAAATAAATTAATTTAATAATTCCTCCTAAAACCATCAAAGTAAAATGAACTTGAAATACTAATACAAATGTTTGTAAACTATGTACATAAGTCCATAAAAAACCATAAAATATTCCACATAAAATTAATATATCAGTTGGAGATATTCTACTGACTAATTTTACTTTATTCATACGAAATAAAATAAACCACCAAACAATCATTGAATAAACCATTGGTAATTCATCTGCCATTTGACCAAAATGTGTTAATGTACCATGAAAATAAGCTGAACCAAATCCAACTAATCCAAAGGATAAACTAAGTAATAAAAAACGATGTTCAATTTTATTATACAAACCTCGAATTATTAATATTATCGATAATAAACACATAAGTAAACTTGAGATACAATTCCAAAATTCAGCAATATAATATGTTACAGCATAATTACGTTCGCACCAATCAATTGAACTTGTACTAGGAGACCAATAACCAATTTTACTGTCAAGTTTTGATTCAAAATGTTTAACATCAGATGGATTTAAATGACTTAACAATAATGATCGTCCTTCAATAGCAACTGACAGGAAAAATATATCAAAAATAATAGTAGATAGTGACATTTATCACACAATATCGAATTTATAATTTAATTGTGCTGTTATTTCATAGAAACAGATAACAATGTTTTTAATCTGTTTAGTTAACAACCTTGATAATGTCTAAAAAGAAAATCAACTATTACATATTATACTTCGGTCTCAGAAAAAACTAGCATTTTTGTTCATGAACGATAACAATATTGTAATTTCAATTTCTATAATGATCTTTTTGATATACAAACCTCATACTATGATAAATAAACTCATTATTTATTTTTATATATTTACTGCGAGGGGATAGTAGCTAGAAATAATTTATCTGTATATTTCTTATATGTATAACGATTGAATTTGTATTTCTAAGATATTTTATTTAATATGTTTATGAATATTGCATTCGATTTGCTCAACTAATTTCAAAAATCAAAAAGATGCTTGTAAAAACTTCCTACATAAAAATATGAAGAAATAGAAATGCGAGAAGATAATGCAGTAGTTTAAAGGTAAAAAAAAAATACTACGTTTAAAATGGTTGAAAAAAAAAAAAGTTTTCTAGCATTTCCAATTTATATAATAACGGAAGTGAAATATGATAAGAAAAATAGTAATTCTTGAGATGATGTCATCGTATTGCTAACTAGAAGGTAAAAACGGAATAGATATCTTATTCAAGTATTTTCAGATCGTCTACATTCATTTTCTATAATAAATATATTCGATTCTCTACCCTGAACTATACAATATTTTTTATTACTTTGATATTTTAATAAATTGACAATTTTATGATTTACTACTCCATTATTCGATATGTCTTATTTGATCAAGGTAAAATTATTCTTGTGTATCTATCCTTTTAACTATAGCCTTGATTGTTGCCATGTGACACTTTTATGAAGAGCATAAACTGTATGGACTATTTCTTTCTATTTCTATTCGGAATAAAATTATATACTATATAGATTCTCATACTTGTATAGTGCAATAATAAGAAAACTGTTTCATTACTCATTAATATATAAAGTTATTTCGTATTAAATTGATACAATTACTTACTTATTCTGTAGAAGGATTATTACTTTCTGTTTCTATGCACTCCTACTAAATATATACGTATACATGTATACCGTTTTTTTTTCTTTCTCTGTTGTCAACAAAGAACGAAAAAATTGTATTTTTATTATAACGCAGATTAAAACAGCACCTGTTTCACAAATAGAATAAATTCATAATTATTTTACAGCAGGCTATTGTTTCAAAGAAGACAAAAAAATATACTGGCACCTACAGATATTTTAATTATTACGAAACAATTGTTCGATTTGATGGAAACCTTTAGTTATGTAATCTATATTCCTATTAAGTTAACAATCACCATATATAATAAAGAATCCATATTTGGATGGTTAAATAAGAAGAATAAAAGAAAACGTTTACAAAACTTGATCTTTGTTCTCACTAAAACTTATTAGATTTCAAAAGCAATGACGTATTAATGGAAAGACTATTTCTTCATCATTAACCAAAAGTGATCAATATTTTAAAAGAGATATTCTTATGAAAAGTTCATGTCTGATAAAGAAAACTTTTCATCAATTATATTATCTTCAATGACTAACAAAATTTAACTTTTAGAATCTTTTTTTTATAACGCATTCTTGTTATAGGGTCTTTCGTAGAAAAGATGTCGTTCTTTTTTCTTTTATAAAATATTATAACAGTAGAAATCTTCTTTAAAAAAAAGACAACAACTGATAACACTTGTTTTTTTACTTATGAAACATATTTAAACTGAATATTTAATAACTGTTCTTCTATTCAATATAAACATCTATTGAGAAAATCATTTGTTATAGTTGAAAGACTGTTGATCTATTAAAAGAATAGCAAAAATAAGGTGAACTCATATTTACAACTTAGTAAACAATCAAAATTATTCATTCATATCCTTCACATCATTTTTCTCAAACCTTAAACAATCTATTCTAATTCAAGAATGATAAATCATACCGGAATATTTTATGCATTTATACTTGTTTCACTGTAAACCATCCGATAAATCTCTTGGATGTTATATAAGCGATAAAAGAAAACATAAACACATAGCAACGCTCGCTATCAAAAAAAAATGAAAATATTTAATTATTAACCATTCTTTTTCTACATGAGTCAGGCTTCCTTTACACACATATAATGCGCAAATGAGATAAGAATATTTTTTACCTATTTTCTTATTGTAGATGGATATACAACGTGAGCAGTAAAAAACAGGAAAGAAAAGAATATTAAAATGTTTTTTTGACCTGTAATGCATCTATATTCATATGGAACAAGCAGCAGTCTTCGTTTCTTTTTAAATAATATTTGTATGCAAAAAGTTATAAAATAAATTGTTAGTTTTAGACACAAAAATAAATGCTAAAAGATTTTGAAATTTACGAATAGTATGTAACAATAAAACGAATCATAACTGTATATACGTATCTTATGATTTCTTTCAAAAGAGATTAATAGAAAATTGTACTCATTTTTCTGATTCATTTTTGCAATTGTATTTATAGAACTATTCTAAAAAATATTATCAATTTATAAAATAAAGAATAATTAATCTCAACAATTAATTGATGTTGCATAGAATGAAATAGGTTGTTTTTTCTATTATTTTTCCTATAAATAATGAACTTTTCGTACAAAAGTGTTTTGCTGTTTATAATATACTTGAAGGAAAAATAAATTTCATACAATCTTGTGGATTTGAACATGCACAAGATATTTGATAAGAGTTATTAGAAATTATTAGATTGATAAGTTTTTGTTTCTCTAATACATAAACTAATCAATTCAAAAAGCAATCTGTTCTAATTTTTTACGAAATACTGCGAAACGTAATATACAATGAGGTAAATATTCAGAGAAAGATTGAACATGATATTCATAAAAATATGTTTATATTATCGAGCATCAGTTGATAATCAAATTCTTTATACTTAATAATCAGAATACTATGAATATGAAATTTTGAATTATAAAATCGAATTTATTTGATTATTTAGAGTTTGTTATTCTAGGCTAGTCTGTACAACAAAATAATAGGTACATGAAGTTTGAAGTATTGATCGAACATAGTTTGTTGAATATGCATTTCAATTTTAAGATGTAATTAAGTTATCAAAGACAATAAAACAATAATGTATCAAATCATTACATAATAAATATATCAACAATCAATTTGATGACATATTTCAAAATGCCATAGTTTTTATAGTAACTCAGATGGAAAACTGATTAAATAAATATTTTTCTTTAATTTTCTATTCACAATCTTAGAATTAATATATTAAAAGAGCTCGTTTATACTTTTCCGATATTAACAGATATATATATAGTTTTGTACGCTCTGTTTTCTTTCGACAAACAAAGACAAGGAAATATATACAAACCAATCGTAATACTAAAAAATATTCTAGCTCACATGCTTGAATATTATGCTTACAATTATAT